GCCCGTCCCAATGGTGTTTGTAGGATTTCCTTGGAGACGGTGACGTATGCCTCATACAGGCCCTCAGAATCGTGGTCTGTCTCAAGATCGTAGCGGGGGGAATGTGTTGGCATATGGATGGGCTGGACAAGGGACAGTGCTCTGGTTAGGCAAGGTATGGCAATGGAGAAGGGGACACCCAGGTCAAGGAGGCCAAGGATAACCTTGTGTAAAGTGTCCCAATGAGAGTTCTAGAAGATCATAAGCACCGCCATTGCGCTGGGTATTACCAACTTGAGCTCGCTGAAATGAGAATGGAACAGATATACAGTGGATCCTTGTGGATGACTTGCCAACGTGTACCAAAAATTGGCAGGGCTTATGAAACAAGGCGAGAGGTGTGAAATGTCCCATCTGGCAGATAGATGCTCACGATGGATAGAGTCGTTTGATAAGACATTGTACCAGTTGACTGCAGTGGCTGCATGTTCCACAGTCACCAAATCTTGGTTTTGTTTGTACAGCAGGTAGCAGACTGGTGTATACCATTCGTCGTTGGTACCTGGAATATGGCACAAGTATCCATGTCAGTGTTGGAGATATTCCGCAAGGGTTGGAACCAGATTGCTCCGTAGCTGGAATGTGGATAGTTGACTGGCATAGGGAGTTGTAGTGGCGGGTGGTAGTCAGGTCATTCACGCTTTTGAGACCTGATACAGCGCCTTGCGGGACAAGGTCTTGAAATGGGGTAACATCCCATTCTTTGGCAAAAGGCCAGTATACACGTGATTTACAGATATCCCATACTTGGGGTACGCTGTATGGGACAATCCAGATGTGTTCCCCTTCCTTTTGTTTGCATTCCCACATATAGAAGGACATCTCTTCCCCAAGACCATATTGCATGGCCCTCATGCCAAGCTGTTGTACGTGATCGATGGTTGCATCGTCTGAACATGTATCCTGGTAAACCAGGTTTTTGTATTGGCTGTGATGGTGACAATGATGCAGGTGACAATGATCCGTCCAAGATTTGTAAACATGATTTTGGGGAATGGAAGGGATGGCCCAAACACCAGAGGGTGGTTCGTCCCAATACGATAAAGATGAATCCTGTGGGAAAGGGCGGGATGGCAGCATTTGTGGAGTCTTTTCAACGGGGTTGGGAGAGTTGTATGTGGTAGTATCAAAGGAATTCAATAATGTTGTGAGGGATATAAGGTGAACGTGAAGGACACAAAGACAGATAGGATGCGAAAAGATGTAATGATTGCTTGTACTTGTGCGTAAATTCTTTCTCTGCTTCTGAGAATCATCAGTTCCACAATATCACATATCTGAAATAGTTGAGTATGATGTGCCATATGTGGGTGGTCGTTGCAATATTCCCTGAGGAGGGTGCCACTGACTGACTTGAGGAATCTCTTGAGATGGATCCAATCTTGAGTTAGAGTGTGTGACAGCACCAATGGGCCACCCTCTATGGGCCCAATTTGGCTGTCTATTTGATTGATGGTGAGGTTGATGGGGTCAAAAAGTGTGCCCATGTGCGGATCAGTTGGGTAAAATGGGTAGTAGATTCTGTGGTCGGAGAGCGCTCAAGGGAGACAGAGTGATGCTTTGTCTTGAGTGGTTGCATCAAGGGTGACAGTGTCTGGGTGGTGGTCTCTGCACAGTGACACAACAAAGCCAAATGGCTTGTACAAAGAGGAAACTCACAGGAATGATTCCTCTCATTCCTGGGATTCCTTTTGTAGAGAAAATCAATGGAGATGCCAACAATACAATAACAACTTAGTGTATTCAGACACTGGAGTCACTTGAGCTGTATGGATTAAGAGACCAGGTTGAGCCATTAGCTCAACACCTCCAAGTTTTGACTTTTGGCAGTCAAAAAGAGTCAGATGGGACTCAAGATATTAAGCCCTTCTACACCTTGGTTAAGCAGAATGATCGCTCTGCTAAGAATGGCCCACCAGGGTCATATCTGGGCTCCTATAATTTGGCTGTCTGTCCATACAGACATTCATGATTATATGGCAGCTTGGACACTGTTCATTCTGATTTTCTGTCTTCCACCTGGAAGCAGTTGTGGACCTTTCATTTTCCTGCGGTCAGCTCTTTATGTGCCAGAGCTAGATATATGGATTGTGGCAGCACTATTCAGGGGCAATGATCCTCATTCAGGTGTTGCATCTTCACCAAATCCAGATACTAAGGATGCCTGGATCTCTGTGAGTCAGTTGCAAGAGATGTATGATTTAGTTGGAGAAGAGAACAGGGTTGGCTATGTCTGTTACCCTGGAGCAATTCCAAACATCCGTGCAGGGTCTCTATCAGTTTCACCAGCTGTCACTTTTGGTAACAACGGGACCCGTCTGGCACACAAAGAGAAGCAACTCAACTTCTCTCAGCATGCCCCCCACTTATTGGGTGATAATCATGCTCGTGCAAATAGATTGGGTAGAGAACTGGTGTTCCAGTTTTGGAATTCCTGTTATAGGCGCATCCGGCGGGCCACTTAGGGGCCACTAGGGGCACCTTCACGTGCTTTCCGGCTATGGACTTGGGCTGCGCACACACACGGCTACACAGACTTGTCACGGACTTTGGACTTAGACATATTTCGAACACGCTGTACTTATTGTTACCGGACTCGAACACGCGGCTACCGTGTGTTCCTTAGTATATAGTCTTGTACAGTACCTACAGTTACCTTAGTTCGAATATTAGTTCCTTTCCACACTCGCACCCTTGTCACTCTATCTCTCCCCTCCCCTCGCCTCCGCTCGTACCCTTGGTACCCGCGTAGGAACACCCCTCGAAATCCAGGGCACACAAGAGTGTGGGAGGCGCAGCCAGTAGCTGAAGCCAAGCCCGTATGTACTCGCTCCCCTCGCTTTCCCCCGCGTCTCTACAAGGAACCGCGCACCCGCGGGTCCGCGTAGCCCCGAGCCCCTCCGCGAGTGTGGCTCTTAACAATTCCCTCCAATACTCGGATCTCCAATTGAACATGCCAATTTCTGAGCTATTTGGCCATATATCTTACAATGAGGAGGATGGCAAACAAAAAGCTCTTGATATCGGCGACTGACACACACGCCGATGTCCCATTCTCGCCTCCGTGCTCGCTCCACATGCTGTCCCACCACTCCCCCATACCTCACCTAATCCCCGCTCCCTCAGAATGCACTCTATCATTCACTTCCCAATTTAGGTATGTCTGCTGCATTCCGCGCGGACCGTATGAATTCATACAAGGTTCAACTCTGCTGACGCGGGTCTATAGGTACAATGTAACTACTCTACCTGTATGAAGACAGGGGAGATGATTCACCATCTGCACGTCAACCACAGCTATCCCTTGATTGAATGTATTCGGCCCCACAGACATTCAGACAAGGTGTGCTCATTGACACTGGAGGGGGAGTTCAGGTATAGGGAGGATGCTGAGTTGGAGCATTTGCTATACAAGTCAGCATTGCCGCAAGTTGTACTCATTGATCATTGTCGACCAGATAGAAGAAAGAGGGACCAGACTATCATCAAGGCCTCGCCACCCACTGTCCCACCACCCACTGCCAGCAATCAGTTAGCTTCAGGGTTGTCCCTTGCTACAAAGTGCACCCTCACTCCACCACCAGCTTCAGCAGACCTGTCCTCTCCTCCTGCTGCAAAACAAAGAGTCCAAAGAAGAATCATCCACTCACTGACCCCAAGTCCATCCCCTTCTACTAGACACATACCAGATGGCACAGCCTCTTTGGACAGTAATGTCAAACTCTCAGAAGTGATTGCCACGACTGCCACAATTCATGACCAAGGACCACCTCAAGAATTTCCCGAACAAGCCTTGGCTGTCAATGACTTTCTAACCAAGCATCCCCAGTACACCTGCTATTCCATCTTCAAACAATGAAAGGCCTAGAAGATATGTGGTGCTGTCCAGTATGTGCACAATCAACTCCTTGTCCAGGCAAGGACTCCAAGTATATGAAGGAGGAGATTGATGACATCATGGAGCTTTTTGATCTACATTGTCAATCTTGTTTCTTGGAGGCATTTGGAGGCAGAGGTGGCCGCAGGGCAGGAAAGCCTTACAAGTCAGCTCAAAATTAGCCAGTTGTCATTCAGATTTTACTGTGTCAATGCTAGCCATTGATGCCACAATAAAGTTCCTTGCCATATAGCACTGTGTCCTGACCCCCTTCTCCCCAGGTTGCCCTGAATTGACCTTCAACTGCAATAGATGCCCCACTATCGCCTCCACTGATGAACAAAGCCACTGAACAAGGCCAGAAAAGACAGTGTCAAATGATGCTAGCCATTGACACCACAACAGGTCACTGGCCAGGTTGGGCTTGGGTTTCCAGTGAAGGGTGATTGTGCTTGCTGTGATTGCAAGGTGCATGGCAACGAGCAGTGGTGAGGGCAGGCCACAGGACTTGTGATGACTTCTGCCAAGGCCAAGTACACAGCCATTGTTCCTTCTCTTTGCTGACCTTGACACTCTCCAGTTGTTGTGGGAAAAGACAAGAAACATAGAGGCAAGTAAGATTCATAGTGAAGATGTATGTGTTTATAAATGCTAATCAACATGTGGAAATGATAAGGCTAGTTTATATATAGAAAACACATGTACATGAAACATGGATAAACTTTGTTTACTGTACACCATGTTCAAACCTTGAAGATGAATTTAGAAGTTCAGAAATGTCTCCTTTAGGGGTTAAGATTGAGAAATAACATTCTTTCTGAGTAAATTCTTGACTGTGGTCATTGATACATCCTGAATTTTCCATTCAAAGCAGGCTCCTGCGGCCCCCTCCGAGTACCCTCTGCGAACCCCCAGGTAACCGGGTGACCTTTCCAGTTGCCATACATGAGTGTCCAAGTAAATTGCCTTAAATGGCAAGTGTGATCGGCTTCAACTGTTTAAGCGCCCAAAATCAAAAGGCCTCTTCATTGTACCTTCTGAGCTCTAGGGTATCTGTAAACAATTTGTAGGACCCTCAGACAACGGCCTGATGGTCTAGTGGTACGATGCTTGCTTCGGGTGGCCATTTCACCCGCCTTTTATGAAGGGCGAAGATGCAAGAGGTCCCGGGTTCAATTCCCGGTCAGGCCCTTCTTTTTGCCACAGAAAAGGCCGTAGAAAGGGAGACACGGTCAAAGGAGGTCGTTGGTTGTGGTTGCATGACCCAATCAGCTCCGCTCCCAGGAGGTCCTTTCAACACACTCATTTGTTACAGCTAACCATCCATACTTGTTCTTGTCACCGTTGACATTGTTGATAATGTCATGCTCACTAGCGAGACGATTATCACATTCACCTGAAATGACATAGATTGCTAACTACGTCGAGTACCATAGGGACACAATGAATGTCTCTGACACTACAAGAAATAAGTCACATACTCAAAGTTCTGCTAAAGTACTCAAATTCTGTGCAATTGATAAAATGATGACAAAAGCTTGACTCCCTGCCCAAACGTGTCGACGAAACGATAGTGTGGCTGAATCCAACCGGAGAGCTTGTTTTGTATCGTTCGTGATTTGTATCTTCTGTCTAGGAAGATTAGCGCAGCCCAGTCATTTCGATGCCTAACGGCACGACCTAATAGGAATTGGAGTAAGCGGACGCTGAATGTGGGGAGGCCGACCGACTACCTATGCTCTGGTTGACACTGTTCATACAGATGTTCTCGTAGAGTTCTGCGCCGGGATCCTTCTCCCCTCGCGATTGCGATGGACTGGCCAGCCTCCTTCTGACAAACTTCATCCGTTCCTGAAGCTCAGACGACCCGAGGTTAGGAAATGGCAATCCTATAATAATCACTGCCCGTGCCAGTTCATCGGAAAAGTTGAGACCCTCAGACAACTTTGCACCGATTACGGCGAATAACAAAGCGCCGCCAGACGAGGCGTCCTACAGAAGGTTGAGGACGGAATAAAAATACCGTTGGAAGTAGCCACCTTAGCCGCTTGGGCGTACGATTTCAGCGTTGCGTCGACAGCAGTAGAGTCATCGGGCTCAAAGAAAATCTGCCGTCCGCGGCAAGTCAGTACACCATCCGGAATTGATGAGCCATCGCGTACCTGCTTCCTTTGAGTTAGTCGTCCGAGGGTCCCTTGTTTCTCCCATAACGTGCGAGCCTTGGCCAAGAATTTGTATGAAGGAAAGAATGCCACAGTACCGGCAGGAAGAAGCCTACAGAGATTCAATAGGATTTGGCCGAGTTCCATCACCTACAAATTATCCCAGGTCTATCCCTGGCAAACCGAGAAGAACGACAAACGTACGACCTTGTCACTCTGCTGCTGCTCGGCTCTATAGTCCAACTCTACCCCCGACGGTCCATTTCCAAACGCCACGGCGAGCAAGTTGGAAGGAGGCATTATATGACCGCAGCTGAACGTCGACAGCCTCGTTGATTCCAAGGGGTAGAATAATTGACTGATAACATCTGACATCTATACGCCAACGGTTTAATCTAGCTGTGGCCAGCAAAATGTAGAAGAGTTACCGGAGACATTGTCCCACCAGCGAGAATGACCGCTCTACAAGACTCTACCACTTCCATGAAAGCGGGCGCTGGGTTGAGTGTCTGATAATGGATCTCTACATCGTCCGGACCAGTACAAGCGAGCATCACGCAGCCGTCTAAAAACGGGGTTCCAACGACAGTGGCGTACGACCGTGGGGTCTACGCACCTTCATTGGCAGATACGAGGGCGACAATCAGTGCTTCGACATGTTGGAGAGGCGGGAGCGTGGCTGACTCGTGATTGGGTCGATCTAGGTTAGGGATGAGAGGGTGATTCGTCGACTAAATAAGCCACGAACCGCTATGAGTGCTACTAACCTCCGCATATTTGGATATCTTCTTCGCAATCTTCGAGAACACGCATGAAGGTTTGACCAAAGAAGATTCGATCACGTTCGTCACCTTGCTTTTCCGTAAATAACTCTCGACCTCCAAGAAGTTAATCCCAGCAACATTTTTTCCGACGCGTTGCAGAAGATTAGCGGGTGTCATGGCTTCCGTCTTCGCTTTCGCGTGTGGATGCGGAGTTCCAGCTGGTGACTTGGCCCACTCGACCAAGTATTCCTTCAAGGCTTTCATGAAAGTAACGAGACGTTTGAGATGCAGCATATGGAAGGCCAGCAGTCTCGTCCGAAACTTCGCAACATAGTGGCATACTTGGGCGAATGCAGTACCCAGCGCTCGTGATGTCAGCCGTGCACTTGTTATAGACAAGAGAGTGGAAATTAAGTCTAATATCGCTATGGTTAGTATGCAGACCAAGTATACTTCAAGTAGGACGGCATACTGTGTGCTTCGTCAATAACAACGACCTGGTCTCGTAAGTCGATCCCCAAAGCTTCTCGAGCGCCCTTGTGTAAGAGAAGATTGTAAGGAAGCGTCACTAACTGCTCCTTGTAAGCGACCGATAGAAGAAGAAAGGCAGAAGAAGGCACCTCAGCCTGAGGAATCGCATGGCGAGACCCGAAATACGGGCACGTATCAGCTATCTTTCCCGCTTGGGCAAGCTCTTCTATATCCTTAGGTGTCGACTAAAACATCGCTGTCGATTGCATCTGCTCTAAGCAGGCATTTGACCTACCAGAACTTGGTCTCGAAAGTCAAACATTCTACTCTCGTTCCCAATTGGAGGAAGATAAGGGCATCGTTTATCACCCTTGGCTGGGGTAATAAACATCAAGGGACATTAGACAGAGGCATATGCTTCTAAACTCACCGTCCAATAGGTCACGGCACTTATCGTCGAGGTCCCATCGGTTTCGCCGCAGCTCCTCGTGTATGCAAAGCTGTTTGCGGGATCCCAGGGCTACCGCAGGTGTAAACAACGTCGTCATGTCGTCATTTTCGATCTCTTCGGCATTGCGCTTGATTCCTGGGGTAGTTGCGGTTGTAGGATGGAGCGAGGAGATGTTGGCATGTAGCTTAAGTCGTCTGAATTCTGGAATGACTTGAGTAAGCTGTGAATGCGTGCGAGAGGCATAGTATATCTTGGTGGCGTGTGGTGTATTCGCTACACCATCCAATCCATTAGCTTTGTTCCCCGCGGTCTCAAACCTATGAGGGGTCAAGATAAGTCAGTTGATCCAACAATACGAAGCTACTAACTTAGCCATCAGGGCCCGCACACTTGGCGATATGTTATCATCCGGGTCCACATCTTCGTCGGGTAAAAACATGTCATCACCCTCGATCTCGTCGGCTGCATGACTTTCTTCAGCGGTTTTCTCATGATAGAACCCGTCAACTTTCGTGGGCAGTGCACGATGTGATAGTTATACCTGTCGCTTCTTGACCCTGGCCTTCGACATCTTGCGTAGAGCCTCTTCCCTTTTACGAGCGTTAATGAGGCGGTCTCGGGTCTCCTGCTCTTCGGCCTCAAGTTCACGAATGAGACGTTGTCTCGTCTGCTCCACCACCCAGTCAGGTGCTACCGTCAACATTTGAGAACCAAGCCGCCCCATCTAGACTCAAAGGACAGTACCGTCATTGCTTTGTCTAGATTCTGGAAGTTTTCCCTTCTTTGCTCGTTGCTTCTCATCCATTAGCCACGTCAAAGAGGCGCAAAGCAAGCTTAAGGTCTTCCCCTACTTGAAAACGTAAATGAGACATCAGGTATCCGCATTCGCGACATGAAACGCGTACCGTTCCGGTGGGACTCTCGACAATAGCTATCTTGCGATTCTCGATGGCAGAATAGACGTGTTTCATCAAATCAACTTGAATGGAGTAAGGGGGATCAAATGGAAATGCTGGAAATGATTCTGGGGTTGGTAGCGACAACGACATGGTACTCAATCAAAAGAACAATGGCAAGACACGACTCGCGAGTGCGTCGCGTAAATGGCTCATGTGACCTCAGGGGGAACAGGAGTTCCACATTGTCGTGATAATGTATAACAGAGTGACTGGAAGAAATAAATCATAGGCTATTACAATGAAGAATATGATGTGTATGCCTTTCGAATATTGATCCCAAGCGCAAGGAAAGTCTTTTTACACACCCAGATTAGCGGTTTAGCGTCCACTGGCAGGCCCTCTCTGGTGGCCATCATGAACTAGCCTCGATTTCGTCCTTGTAGTATTCCTGAAGCCACTCTTCGGCCTTCTCGTTGTCCTTCTTCGCCTGGCTGACCATTTGCGCGATTTTCTGCAGCGCTTCAGCCTGGACAGACTTGCTTTCTCCCGATGCATCGTCGCCACAGTGCTGTATCTTCTCGCAGGATGCTTGTACCTTCTTGATCCCGATGGCAGCAGAGGAGCCTTTCAGATAGTGGCCCAGCCGTGATAACTCATGCAAATCTTTTGCCACCCTGCCGCGCCGCATTAGCTAGCGTTCAATCGCTGCGATAATGGTTGTGATACATACAGCGCCCGATCCATACTCGCGAACGTCTCTTTTGCCTGAACCAGGTATGCAGCAGTCATTTCAAATGAGAACTCTTTCGTGTCCCCATCGTCGAGGTCAAGGATCTGATTGAATATCTCCTTATCGATGATATCCTAGCATCGCGGACATTAGCACATATACTCTTGACGTTTCGACACTCATGAATCTCCAAGGTGGCGAGTCCATTGGGAGTCTGACTAAGGGAACAAGACATACAGCTGGAATATTGGCATCGCCGTCATCCGTCCGGTCATCAGCCAAATCATCCTCGCCTGCTGGGGACTCTGACTCCGTTTCCGCCGCAGGCGAGGGATCATCGGCGATATCTACAGGCAACGACTTGACTTCAGACGTAGGTGGGCTTTTCGCAGGAGGGGAGGAAATCCGCCGTTTCTGCGTAGAATCCATGCCAACAGGAGTTTTGTAGGGGGCGTGAGCGGTTGGCCTGTGATGCTGAATGCGCCATTGAGAAATGAATTATAGAATTTGGTGATGATGGGAGAGAGCCAAGAACGGCTAACTGATTATCGACGGACCGACCTCAGATTGATCTACTCTTTGTTCATATGACGTCCCATATGTCCCCGTGGATTGGGCTAGAATCACTGCTGTATACTATCTATACAACCTGCCCCTCCTTTAATTCCTCAATTTCCTTCAAGCTGTATCCTAATTCTTCCAGAACCTGGACAG